ATAAACAATATTAGTACAAAGGGAATTTTCTGGTACTCCTACTTAGTTTTGTGAAGTGAACTATGAGTTTTGCTCCAATACATCCCCCTAAGTTACTTAAAAAGGCTATCACAATATTAGCCTATAGATTAAACATATTGAATAGATTGATTTGGATACAGCAGACTATATTACCTTATTTTATTGAAAGGGGTAACTTCTAACCTTCACCTTTAATTAGCATCGAAGTATCTAAACTTTTCTATGGAGTCGTACCGAAGCAAAGTTCATGAACTATTCAGCATTATCGATGTCATTGCCGGCATCACCCATCACAGGTGTTGATAAGTTGATTCCCCCCACATGGAGCCAATGCCTTGGTTACACCCCACTACCCCACTCCTGGTTCATGCTCAAGGTAAAAACCCTCGTTCACTCTATTATATTGTGAGGTGGCTGTATTCCGCGTTGTAATTTCTTTGGAGGCATTTTCCATAAGATTTGGTTATCTTGATTTCTTCATGACTTATATTGGTGGCAAAGACGATGTTATTCTGCGGTTGGAGAGAATTATTTTCTTTTTAATTACAAAGGAATCCTCCCATTGTACATCAGGATACATCATGAGCCCAAGAGAGAAAACAAGATGATAATTGGACCCTAAATCGACCGACGACCTCCCAAGAGATGCTTTGCCATCATCTCTTGCCAAATCCTCGCCATGAGGCAAGGAGCAAAGGGCCTCCCACATGGAGGTTGAAGACGTACGTGGGCTTCGAAAACAGTCAAAAAATCCTATAGAGGCTAGCAAACCACCCTAGCCACCTGTGTCTTTGCAAGTTTCATCCGTAGTTCCGGCAACTGAGGCCAAGGCAGCGGAAGAAGAATGTCGAAGAAACACCGAAGCCAGCAACGTTCCCCACATTACGCCAAGTCAACAATGCCGAACGACAAATCCATCCCACTCTCTTCTTTCCCCACCATGACAGCGAGAGAAAAAACGGGGAAGGAAGCCGGACCGACTCGCATCGACAACCTATCAACCAAGCTTATATTTGAAGCTCCACCGCTAGCCGTCGTTTTCCACCATGGAATATTGCCGGAAGAGGGAGAAGAGGAGCTTTTCGATGGCACTCGTGAGTGCCGGTGCCGAGATTCACCATGGCATGATGCCAGACACGACATAACGCCATACGCCCAAAGACAAACCAAACCCTAAACCCTAACTTAGTGCTAGCTAGTACGTACAACGTCCCCTCTTCTCTCCCATCCCCACCTCGGAGCGGCGAGGCCACCCAAGGAAGCGGGGATCGCGGCGTGGGTCTCTCAAGAGAAGGAAGGAAGGAAGAGAGTAGACCATGTATCGATACAAAATGACATTAGCGCTCGCTGTTTCTCGTAAAAAAAAAGTAGACCATGTATTGTTCAAATCGATTTGACTTTATTAATCTAATTTAAAGCTGAAACGTCACGGCCTTTTATGCAAAGAAAAAGAACTGGATCGATGTCAACAATCTCAAACTTGTTTACTAGTAATTGACGAGTGATTCGAGAGACGAATGTCGTTGTTAGAATGTTCTCAGTTTTCTTACCAAAATAAGAAGCCAGAACGTCGGTTGAACTGAAAAGAATAAGCACCAAATCAGCAACAATGCTACACATACAGGTTTTTACAGGAGTTTACAGGATTGATTTTACGTGGCGTTTTTTGATTGGGTGTTGAAAATCAGGGGGAGGGGCGATGTTTATGAAGTTTGGAAGGAACCTGTAAACTTCTGTAAAGCCCTGTAGATGTACTGTAGCATTTTTGCCAAATCAGGCAAGAGGAAATATGTACTTAAAAAAGAGCGAGATCGTACGAGGGAAGCGCGTCAAAAACGAGGCAGCCAGCCGGCCGTGGCGCAAGCAAAGCAAATCCCGAGCAAGAGCAGTGCCCCACCCCCACCGTCTCACGCGGTGCCGAGCGACGCGAGCCAGGAGGGAGTGCCTCCTTGCCGGGAGTGGTGTGGGTGGCTGCGCCGCGTGTGCCACTAGTAGAAAAAGGGTCAAACGTGAAGCACATTAGTGCCGGTTTGTACTTGAGCCGGTACTAATGGTACCATTAGTGCCGGTTCGAACGGATTTGCATTAATGCCGGTTCGTGTTGAACCTTTAGTACCGGTTCGTGGCACGAACCGGTACTAAAGGGGTGGTGGGAGGCTGGCATCAGGCCGGGGCCCCACGATCACCTTTAGTACCGGTTGGAGACACAAACTCTACCCCCCGGATCGCCTTTTCAGTTTTAAAAAAATAAAAGAAAATAATGGAAATGTCAAAAAAATAAAAGAAAATAAGTTTCTCATGTGATATGTGGTCTAGTTGTTGGGAAAATTTGCAAATGTGAATTTTGACTTTATTTGCAAAATCTCTCTGAAATTTGTAAAAATGGGCATAACTTTTGCATACTAATTCGGATGAAAAAGTTTTTTATATGAAAAATCATCTACTCGAAAAGTTACATCCAAATTTAAC